GTGACTACGGTCTGGGACAGGCAAACTAATGAAGCAAACATATCACAAGAATAAACCTACAAGCAATCTTCTGGAACACCCCATCTCTGCAGTGTGTGTTGCGTGGCCATGGAATTATAATATGTAAGTTGACATGGTTTGACAGTGTTGATTTGAACAGTTAAAGAATACCTGGTCAGGTACCACTCCCCACAAAGTGGGTTCCAAGCAATGAACATTAATAAAAGGGAAAAGAGCTACTGAAAAAGACAAATAAGAAAGAAAAACTTACCCAGTCAAAGTCTCACTGACTTCTGATATTCTAGAATGGCTACACGCAGAAGATGATAACCAGAGAGAGAAAACCGCGATCCGATAAAAATAGTGAGAGATGAACATATCATGGATAGTTCACATGCCTGATTGAAAAGCCAATGAAAAAGTAAGGTGTAGAACTGGCTGAGAAGACACTCGGAACAAAAAACAAGTGGAAGACCATAAAGAGGAAGAAGCCAATCGAATGAACAGCTGCACCCAATTAGCGAAGGAGGAAGGAAAAAGAAAATGAATAGAAGACAGATGCCAAGGAAGAAAGAGGTGAGAATGGACATAGGACATGTATAGGACATAGAAGTCTATCCTGATCAGTATGAAAATAAAGGTGTGAAATAGAAGGAAGGGAATATGGCTAAATGGAGGAGCTATCCTCAAGAGCCACCAAAATGTGAAAGAGGAAAAACTATCTGTAGAAAGGAGAAAATATGTAGAAGGATAAAGAGTACGTAAAACATTGATGGCAAATAAACAGACCACTGACATCCACAGGCAAATAGGAGAAGGAAGGAAGGAAGATATAATGGAAGGTGAAACATGGAGCACTGGGAGAGTGGTTCGAACATAGGCAAAGTCAGGCAGTGCAGGATCACATTAATATCCTCATCCGAAAAAGTAGTCCGCTTTGGCGGATAACAAATTCAGAAGGAACACATCCACAGGAAAAGTATAGGAGAGAGAAATACCTGCAGAATTGGGAAAAATTAAAGGTGTGGGACAAGACTGCCCAAAAATCTGAGAGTGAGAAAACAGAAGATCCCTGAGTGTGTGGGCCCAAAAAGAACGGGATGTAGAATGGGAGACCAAAACCAAGGCAATTTGTGGTTAAGGAATGTTGCAAAAGCCTCAATGTGTGAAGTACCTCACTGGAAAACAAAAAGATTGAGAGACTACCCCATCAGATAAATGATGTCTGAACAGGAATTCGATCCACAACAATAGCAAAAGCATCCAGAACATGACATGCAATGATAGGAATAGAGTGTGTGGGCCCAAAAAAAAGATCCAACATATGAATACAGTGGGATGGAGAATGGGTGCTACCCTGGAGATTGAGATAAGCAATCACTGAAGAAAATTCAGAATGGATCATTACCAGATGATTCCTAGCAAGAAGGAAAAAATGAACCAAAACATGACCTACAGTGAGAAGCTCCATGGCATTGATAGGATAAGACCTCTCAGCCATAGATCAAAACCCCCAAATGTACCACTTAATCAACCCATGCTCCCCATCCACAAAGGGATGCATCTATGAAATGTGGAAAACTGGATGAGAAGGAAGAAGCGGAATCCTGCCGACACGTGAGTCATATCTAACCACCAATGCTGTTCAATGACAAGGGTAGGAGAAAGGGTAATAAGAGCCAACAAAGGATCCCTGCAAAATTCCACCAGTCATAAAAAGCCCACGAAAGAAACTGCATACGAGTCTGACCTAAGACGCTAAGTCTATCGTGGGAGATCACATCCCCAAAAGCAATAGCACTTCACAAGCTGTAAACGAACTGAAAACCCGTCGAACAAAGTCGAAGAGAAGAAGGGCAGGCCCAACTGAGATGTGTTTAAAAAAAGAAAAACATCCAAATGGACAAGATATTAGATAGGTTGCAGTAAGAACTTCTCCAACTTGATTAACAACCCATTATAGCTGCCTCCAGGAGCAACTGATAAGAGTAACAGGTGGACTCCCGTTCGAACCAACAAACAGTAGCCAGTTGACCAAAGAAAGAGGAAAGTGCAACCTGAGAGCATATAAGCGACAAATAAATGCTTTGAACACCCAAAAAGACATACTTGACTGAAGCAAGTCTGAAGGGAAGTGCACGAAACAGAGAAACCACCCTGTGAAGAATAAACCAAAGAGAGGGTTGCAAGTGACAAAATATCAGAATAAGCAAATAAGCATTCACGACATTCCTCTTTGTCACCAATAAAGCTGGAGAAAAACCCAACTAAGGATGAGAAATGACTCTAAGGTAAAATGGGGCAGATTGAAAATTAGAATGAGGTGGGACAAACCTAGTACAGGCTGCCAGTCTCCAGTTTGGTGCAAGGATAACAAACAGCCTGAAATAAAAGCCTGGAGAAAGATGATGAAAAGGTGCAATGGCCTGTAGAGACTTTGTATCCTGGAAAGACACAGGCTGGTAGCAGGATCCCAAGTCATGGGAAAGGAAAAGAGTATCAGGGACAAAGGAGGCGGGGAAAGGAATTAGATGACAAGTCCCTCTGATAAAACCTGAAGAACCCAAAGAATTAAGTGAAAGATCACCAAAGGGTAACAATATAATGTAGTCAAGCTCCCACTAGACTGAAACCCTCTGGTTAGCCTCTGGTACTGTTGGCGACATGCCCAACAACGTTGAATAAAACGACGAGATGAGAAAACCCTGGAAGGGGAACAGGGATGGGTAGATAAGGACCAGGACAGGAAAGGAATAGGGCATGTCATGATTTTCAACTATGACAAACATGCAACCAAAGAAGAAAGGGTCAAGTGTTGATGCAAAGATTACACAAGAGATTCCAAAGTCACAGATACATAATCTAAAACATATCATCAAAGAAAAATACAGAAATCCCAAAAAGAAAGAGATGGCAAAAGTACCCAAAGCAAGGTCGCATCACGACTCAGAAAATCCCAACTACAGTGAAATGACAAGTGTAAAGCAAGAGCCGGAAATGACAAACGAGCCAACATGGAGGTAATAAGGAATCATAGAAAAATGGGAAATTGGGTAAAACATAACATACCTGAGAAATCATGTATAAAAATGCCATATCAGGCCTATTTGACTCTGCAGGAGGGGTAGGGAAAAACAAGGCAAAATTCAGTGGTGTAAATAGGCTATCAAATCTTCATTGACCAGAACGGGTTCGGATAGTTCAGGAGGATTAATGGTTTACCCACATAACAATTAATCTAATGATGGATAATAGCAGAAAAATCTAATGATGGGTCTCCCCCACCTTCAGCCTGTGAAGATAGTGCTAGACGTATAACACCCGAAGTGTGAAAATGAACCTAAGAATTCATTGTAGAAATATGTAAATTAAACAAAAGTGTTTAATATCAAATATGTGAGTGTAAGAAAAAAAATAAAGATTGGGAAATTAAGTTAAATTAAAAGATTTCTTGAATGTAAAGAAAAAAATAATAATGAAGAAATCTCACTTCAGCAATTAAACTATTAAAATCATGATTCACACAAAGAACACCAAAAGAAAAAACATCTGAACACACATACTGCCAAATGAGAAGTGATAGTTTGGTAGAATTGAATAGTGGGAGCCACATGCAGCACTCTTATTGGTGGAGGGTTGATGCATCATGATTTTCATGAGAGATGCATTGGAATCAGTCAATTCCAATGACTGGGGAGATAGAAGGCTTATGACATGCGTAAAAATTTTTTTGAATATAGAGGGCAGAACTGAACAAGAATAACTATTTATGTGAGAAGAGGTAATGTGCCATATCAGAATCTAGTATTGAAAGAAAAAGCCTCTTAAGCAGGCTTGTGGGAGTCAAATGATAAATATGAAATACTGTTTTTACATAATTTTGATTCAGAATCGGCAATGGACAAATGAAAAAACAAACATATGCAGTTAACATGATTTTCATCACAAACTTTAGACATATTGGCTTCTAATTTTTCATTAGTTTTATTTCAATTATAATGGAATTGAATATCTTTAAAGTTCCTGTGCACAATAAAAAAAAAGAAACTGAAATATTTCCATTCTGTCAGTTGTCACATATAAAACATTAACCACAGTCATTTTTTAGCACCAGATCTGCTAAGAGTTCTCAAGTCCATCGCTTTATTTTAATTTTAAGCCCAGAAACTCCCTATCTGCAGTCATTTTACAAGCATCAAGAGCATTAAAAGTCTTTATTCAAACATGCATGATGATTACATGTGTGCTGGGTTAGACAATGTCTAGACCTACACAAGACATATCTTGGTTATATCTGACCTGTATATCTTTGTGTTCTAAAGACCACAGTCCTTTACACAGATCCATGCTGTGATCTGATATTCACAACAATCTAAACTTAACAAGTCTTAAATAATTATAGAAGAGTCTGCTCTTTAGTTTAATAAACTTTATAATCAACTGAAGATGCTTCTATTTAACATATACATAAGATAGACTAATATAGCTATTCTTAGAATTATCTTTACAAATCAAGGAAAGAGATTTAAGCATTTAAATAATTATGAAGGAATGTTTTTGTGTAATCATATAAAAGAAAGCTGGAGTAATTGACAGCATGTTGATTTTTTGAGTGTAGTTTAGTTATATTACACAATTTATTACCTGAATGGTTAAGTACCATTATATGAAACCACTAGTATATGGTTAAGATGAACTAACTGTCTGAAATTAGATCAAACTTAATGTCACAAGATTTGTCTGCTAGAAAAAACCCATTCTTAATAATTACATCTGCCAATTTTGTTTAAGAAGTAGTAATCAAGACTTGCATCTTTATTTACACTTCTATTACTCCATTTATATTTTTCTACCATCCAGCATGAGATGAAGTGCCTTAGTATATGAGTGGGTCTCCAAGAACAGATTATTATTATGCAGAAAAAATTTAAGCTCATTCTTGAACGTCAGAAACAGATTTTTCCACCAGTTTTTACTCTCAAATTGATAGGTCTTCCAGTTAATCAATCAGTGAATATAAATTAATATGTTTTAAATCAGGATCTGTTTTAGTCTATGGTAAAAACATAATGCAATGTTCTTAATGATCACCAAACTATAAGTAGCATAAATTATTATGGTAAATTTCTGATTCTCTTTTAAGTTTATTCTTTTATTAGCTCATAGCTTAAGTTAAAATTTTCAATTGCTTTAAATCTTTATATAAACACAACCACCATTATTTCTCCTTGGTACTCTTGTAACTGAAAGTTGGGGTTTTGTTTCATTATATTGATTTTGTACTGGTGAGTTCAGCTACCTCTAAGAAAATTTTTCACATAATAAAATAAACAAAATCATCTTTTTCATTTCTTGTCTGTCTGACTCTCTCAAATATTATCTTCAAATTGTATTCTCTACCACTGTTTCATACATTCTTGTCATTTTTACTTATCTGGGTATCATGGGATAGTCCCTGCCTCTGAATTGTCACAGTATAAATATTCAAATAATCAACAATTACTTAACATAACACACACACACATAAACGTAACTTTACCACTCAAGTACAGTAGAAGCAATTAAGAAACATAAATCAACAATAACCAACCATGAAAAACAGAAACAGCATTATGAAAAGTCTGTGACCAAATATTTTTGGATTCGGAAAGATAATGAAAAATAATTTGAGGCTTTGGAACTCTTGAGGGATGTTATACATCTAGTTTAAGTCATTTATGCATTTTTTGTCATAAAATTTTTTACCCAATAATAATAATAATAATAACAGGGTTGACAAATGTCAGAGCAAAAGCAAATGTGAAATATTTACATTAGGTCAAAAAAATTCTCACTTTTAAAAATTATTCAGATCTACATATTAAATCCAAGAAATAAGACAAAAGAAAAAACAAAAGAAACACCAACAGAAAGTTTCCAAGCTGTATAAAAATACTGTAATGCTTTAAAATTTATTAATTAGTATTATTATCCTACTTTGAGTTTACGCCGAGCATTGAACTTCTTCAAGCATTCTACAGTTTCTTGACGATGAAGTGTTGAAGCTACTCGTTCCCTCTGCTAAAAGACAAAGCACATAAACAGAGTGAGGGATTGAACTCTTCTTAAATCTTGTCTATTTCATAAGTAAACAGTTATGAAACAGGCCATATACATGTATATATTGGTTCTTAAAACACAAACTTAATTTCATTTTCATAACCTTAACCTTCCAAAATCAGTACCAAAAAGGTTTCTTTTTCAATAACAAAGCAGCAAGTCTTTCTCTTTAAATTTTGCAAACAATATTGGGGACTTCTGTACACTGAGTGGTCACAAGTAAATAGACACCTAATTTTTTTGTCATTTAATTGATTTATGCTAACTAATTTGTGTTCACAAAGCACTATATAAATGAAAATGGTCTGCACACTAATTATCTTGTGCTACAACATGCCTAGAACTCAAGGTTCTCTCAAATTGTCAGATTTTGTTAGAGGAAGAATAGTTGGTCAAGCAGATGGTGGAATAAGTCAGCGGTAAATTTCGCAGAATTTGGGAATCCCGCTTTCAACAGTCAACAGAATTATCGTGCAGTTCAGGAAACACGGCAAGGAAACAACTGAGCAGCGTCCAGGTCCATCGGAGAGGATAAAGAG